CACAAGTTACGAATTAGAAATGCAACGTCATGAAACGTGTCAAATGTTTAGCATCTGCGTGTGCTGATGACCTCTGTAAGGTAAAAACTCAGGTTTACAGGTGATTTTGCTCAGGAAATAACATCAGTCCAGTTTCATGTCACTTTATTCATTGCTTAAACTCTCTTGATTGTCAGTTGAATTCTGTTCTATTATTCTTCTGTTGAAGTTGTTTGTTCTGAATGTGTTTCTGAACTGAAAGGAAAAGGGAGATCTTTGTAAACTCTTCAAGCAGTGATGGTTTGGTTTCCATCACACTGCAGCAATAAATGTATCTATAAGCCTTAACAACTGAATGTATTTCTTAATAAATAAAATTTCACTTGTCAATATTCTGCTTTAGTTTCCAAATACACGTACCATGTGTTTATTGGAAGAGGGTTTTTTTCTGTTCAGCAATACGGTGTAATGTTTATGCTGAAAGGTGCAGCAGTTACCCCCGCCACAAATAAGATTGTTTATTTAGAATGATAAAAATGTTGAAAATGTCTCTTTTCTCTTGAAAATGTTTATGTATTTATATTAGTGCTGTCAGCATCTCAAATAAAAGTGTTTGTTTACATAATGTATGTGTACTGTGTATATTTATTATGCATATATAAATACACATGCATGTATATATTTAAGAAAAATATATTATGTCTATATATATTTATATATAATATAAATTATATGAATATAAATATATGTAAAGACAAATATTTTCAAAACATACTATATATATATGTGTGTGTGTGTTTATATATACAAAAAATATATACACAGTACACACACATTATGTAAACAAACACTTTTATTTGGATGCGATTAATCAAGATGAATCGATTGACAGCACTCATTTATATTATTTTATTATTCGATATTACTGTTTTATGTACAGGTGCATCTCAATAAATTAGAATGTCGTGGAAAAGTTAATTTATTTCAGTAATTCAACTCAAATTGTGAAACTCGTGTATTAAATAAATTCAGTGCACACAGACTGAAGTAGTTTAAGTCTTTGGTTCTAATAAATTCAATGCACACAGACTGAAGTAGTTTAAGTCTTTGGTTCTTTTAATTGTGATGATTTTGGCTCTCATTTAACAAAAACCTCAACAAAATAGAATACTTCATAAGACCAATAAAAAAACATTTTAGTGAATTGT